AAAGGTTGAGCGCTTTTTTTTCTGCTTACTTTTTATTTTACTTAGCTGCAGCATTCAGGAAATGAAATACTCTTGGTTGAGGTGCGTTAAAATACACTACTTGGTGAAATTTAAAAAGTACAACAGAACATATAGAATTTCTTAAGCAAACTTTAAAAAATAAAAATAAAGAAAATAACTCAAAAAATTCTATGAGAGAAATATAAAAGGAAATATCTGTGAATACTTGTCTAAGTATATGGATATTGAAATATATCTTAACATATATTGTAAATATTTTATATTATGTTAATTATGTTAACAGTTAGCCCTAAACTTAGTCGATAGCCAGAATTTTGAACTAAAATATGCTTGATTATTATTTACAGGCTGAAATTGAATTGAGAACTTGAGTTACAGCTGCAAGTTATATATAGTTAATTTATATTCATTCAATGTAATTATACAATTATATTTATATAAAATTGTTTTCATTTAATTTAATTTTATTTTTTTATTTGCTTTAATTTAAATTTCTCTATTTAATTTTTAACTTCAAGGCATTATTATTTAAATTCTGTAACACTTTTCATAGGGCTTCGAGTATAATAGATGCACTTAAGCAGAGCATAAAACAAATTAATTAAACTGTCTAGTCAGTAACTAACTAACAACTTGCTCATCAGATGAAATTAACTCTGAAATTTTATGCTGTTTCATCTGGTCTCATATTCCAATAGAGCCCCACCTTCGGTTAGGGCATGATACGAACTTTTTGGCTGAGTAGTATGGCATAAAAGCAGCTGTTCCGTTATGACTGCGCATGCAGGGATGGCAAGGGTAGCTGGCGGCTTATGCATAATAGACATATATATATATGTATGTGAACGGCTGGGAAAAACCATTTTCATAACTGACTCAACGATTCTGCGTTCAATATTTCGATTATGACAATGCTAAAAATATCGCGAGTTAAATTCAAATGCATTTTTTTCCTTTTTTTTTTTGCAATCAGCTGAAGCCCATTTGGCTGACCAGCCATTTTCCTCAGAGCTTTTCAGTTATTATTATTTTTTTTTTTGTATTTCGTCCATTGTCTGCGAAAATTGAATTTCCATTTTGACAATAGCTGTCGCTGTCGGACCTCTGGCCACATGAGCGTTTGGACAAAACTGGCGCCGGCCTGATAAGTTTTAAGCCTTGAGTGCTAATCAAATGCTGGCTGGGCAATCAATTTGGTGCCGACGTCTTTTAATGAACGTTTTTCCAATGATGCAATGCAGCAACCGCCTGTTGCTCTCACCGCCCACCAGCAATCCGTCAAGTGGGCGGCCATATTGGAAAAGTGAAAGGGTAACACTCGAATACTCAGCTACCCACATGCCGCTGCCTTTTAGCCCCTGGGTGCTGTATTGTGGCCAGTTGACAGTTTCATTAGTTGGTTTACATGCAGGAGGTGCCAGTTGCTGTTGCCTGTTTGTTTGCATTGTATCGCCATGTTGTCGTGCAGGATATTGGCTGGTTTGTCCTGCTCGCTGTTCCAGCTAGCTGTGGCTGCCCCACATCGTTCCCTGCCACCTCTTGTTGTCGCATTCACCGGAAGTCGCCTGATAAGTTTACGTTGACATGTTGCTGCACTCTATCTCTCTACCATTCCTTACTGTACGTGCGCGTGTGTGTGTGTGTGTGTGTGCCTGTGTGTACGCCTGCTCCCAGCTGAAAGCTTTCATAAGTTGATTTAAATCTTAACTTTTGGCCATGTTCACTTGACATCCACTTTAGGTACTAACTTAATTGTGTCTTCGGTTTTTTAGTTTGATTGTTTTACTTTGATTCATCGAAGTAAAGGCGTATATATATATATATATATTTTTTTTTTTTTCTTTGAAAATTAGTTTTAGGGCAATCGGACGGTAAACAAAAAACTGTCATACAACCGTTTTTCGCCAATTTACCAGAGTTGCAGTTGAAACGTCCCCCACCAAATTTTTGACTTCCATTTCCATTAAGGGGGAATGCATTTTTCGAAAAGTGTGAAACATCCCTCAAACGAATAAGAACAAAGATCTGTTTAAATTGATTTGAGGTCGATCGAATGATAAACAAAAAGATTCATACTAACGGTTTTCCCAATTTTTCCACACATATGGGTGGAATTTCTTAAAACCAGGTCTTCATTAGATAATGTAACTAAAGTGAAAATTTCAGCTTCAAACCTGTATGGGCTGTGCGTTGGTCACCAATCAGGACAAACTGTTTTATATCTAGAGATAATAAAAATAATATTTATTATATTAAGTCAATAATTGAAAACTCTGCACATTTAAAAAACACCGCCTAGTCAGATTTGCCCTGCCAAGAATCACAGTATTATGTGGGCCGCACTTTTCCAATGACAACTCTTTTCGAATTGGAAGTCATTTAAATTCTGCATAAGCTCGAATCGCCTTACAAAATCCAAAACGTATACACCTTTTAAGCAAGTCATACGCCACGCAGCTGTGCTCTTTTCCCCTTGGGTTGGGGCACAAAAAAGAAAGCGCACACAAACATTTTCATTCCTCTTTTGATTTTTTTTTGCCGTTGACCCATAAAAACAAAAGGGGCAGCATCATATGACGACCAGCAAGGACCAGTTGGTGGCAGAACGGTGCGGGGGTGCGATTCCAATGCAAAATTGAACAAACTGTCAGTTGCATGGGCAGATCAGGAGGCCCATACCGCTGCATAACACTACACAACACAGTACAGCCCAAACATAACACTACACGTCACTAGCAAGCAATTGCTTTGTGCAATTCGTGCTCCCTCTCTCTTTATATCTTTCTCGTTCCCTCACTTTCACCTGACTTTACCTGGTGCTGCCCAAATAAATGCACTGTGAGAAAAAACATGTACGACTTTTACTTGCAAGGTCTGACGTCTACAAATAGAGAAAATTAATATTTGACAAGTGCTAGGAAGTTTGGAAAAATCGCGAAAAAACCTTTGTATTCGATCGATGATCTTTGAATGTGGAGTTCACTCGGAAGCGTTTCACACTTTTCGGTAAATTATTATTTATTGGTGGAAAACGGTTTTATTTAACTTTTTTGTATACCATCCGATGGGCTTCCAAAACATTTGTCAAAAATCTTTGTAAAAATTCATTTGGGATGATTCTCACAAATCCCAAAATCGATCCTTTTTGAATAATAAATGCGGGTTAAATAGAAACTAAAAGAATACGTGTGCTGGAAATTATAACTAATTTGAAGAATTATAAGTGAGATTCTCTCAGTGTATGCCTTCTCCCTGGCTGCGGCTGCTGTTGTCGTCGCAGTTGTTGTGGTAACTTTGTTAGCCAACACGCTGATAGAGGCATGGGGACACATTGTGAGCTGCTGCTGCCGCAACTGCTGCTGTTGCATGATAATAGGCCTTTGGACGTGGTCTCTAAACATGGACATCGATTCTGGACATCATGGATTTTGCGGCATATGCCCGCGTGTGCGTTTGACTGTGCCTATAAAAGTGAACGGAAGTTAATACGTTTACCTGGTTTTTTGCTATACTTCTCACGCAGGTGGCGCCCCGACATTGTTTTATGGGTTTTGTATCCTTGTTGCTATTGTTGTTGCCTTTGTTGTTGTTGTTGTTGTTGTCGTTATTACTACACAAACAGAGTAAATTGAATTGCGTTAATGCGCTTATAGCTTATACGAGTGTCGGGTCCATTGCAGCAATAAATGGCCAAAATAAAAATGCATATGAAAATCTACATAACATAATAAAAATGGCCAACAAATTGAGTTTAAGTACACAGGACTTACACGTACACACACAAGGACACGTATTCAGTCCCCTTTGCTTTGCTTGGGGATTTATAAATATGGTATAACATTTATTTGGGCTTAAATGTAATTGCCAGCTAAGAGTGCCAGCACTTATAAACATATTCAAGCCTTCATATTTACTGGGTGCCAGTTGTGATAATCAGTTTGTTTAGCTCGACACAGGCAGACACCAAATGCTACGATAGCGCTGCCTTGGCTTAGATAGGTTGTGCGAGCTTATGGAACACGCAGAGCTTAGATGGATATTAAAAAGAAGAAGAAGACCCAGACAAGGTTTCAACTCTGTTTATCCGGCTTTATAAGCGATGGGATCTCTGAATCTTCTTTTTAGATTACTTCACTTTTATGTATGCATGTTGATGCATGTATATGTAGAACAATACTGAAATCTCGAACGCGCTGCAAATTAATGAAAAGTAATTGTTACAAAATGTTGCCCTACTATGCGATTCTCATGAATGCAAGTAATGTATTCGTGCTTCTATGATATGCAAGTAAAATAATTACAAGTGTTTTGGAAACCTACTAAGCTTAATTGGATATATGGATGTTAATATGTCTGTATATATGTATACATGTATGTATGGTCGTATGAGTGAGTATATGCATGTATATATTTGTGTATGTGTGAATGTATGTATGCATGTATTATTTGTGTACGCTTTTATGTACGTATCTATGTGTGTATATTTGTATATGTATGTACGTATGTATGTGTATGTGTCTTTTGTTGTACCAATCACAGGCCAAGTTTACTGTTCACTGAACTGAAAATTAAATAAAACCTGTTTTTAATTATTGCCCTGCTATGCGATTCTCATTATTACAAGTGGGACTTACAGGTCGTCATGCCTTGATGGCAATTGAAGTGTTACATGAACAAGTCTGCTGGCAATCTAATAATGATTTTTGGCGTAAAAATAAGTATGGATATATTAATGTGCATATTCTCTTATTCGTAAGATTACATTATTAGATTACAAAATTTAAAAAAAATATTTGTAATATTTAACAATCTCAAGTGTCAATTAATTAACTCTATCTTTGCCGTCTACTCTTGCTACGAATATAATATATATATAAATCTTCCTCTCTACTCCTTCATTCCGTTTTTCTCATTTTATTTATATTTTTTTCCTGTGCTTTCATTCTAATATAATATCTACTTTTATTAATATTTTTCAGTGTTGCGCATATATAAAATGATGTCGCCCTCCAATAGATGGCAATATTAAGAGTGCGTGCGAGTGAACTTTCGGGTAAGTACATATTAACAAATATACTAATATACAAATATAAATGAAAGTTATAGAAATTCACTCTGTGGTCGACAATTATCTGACTGTTAGTGTCAGTAGGCGCATTTAATTGGAGTTTAATTTTTTTTATATTTAGTTAAGGTCTTCATCAGACTATAATCGCATTTTTTCCTTTAACTGGCTTTGTAGTGCTAGGCGCTGTCTAAGCCAAATGAATCCCTTGTTCCTTGTCGTTATCGTTGTCCTGGCAAAATTGCATTATGATGTATTAGCTTTGTGTAGCTGTCCTGCGCCTGTCATTGCCGCTGGCTGGTAAGTAGCCACAACTGTCTATGTTCTTTTATTTCAGCTGCACTTTAAAATGTTCTCAATAGACTAGAAGGCAATGTCATAGTTCAAAGACGACGGCACTTAGCGAACGGCAAATGCAATCGCCTTTAGTTGCACTTAATATTTTATATATATATTTTTTCTATTTCATTTTTATAATATTTTCACTTTGATTCAATTTCTTAATACCTTTAAGTTAACATCCGTTTTGCCGGTTGCCTTCAGCATTCGCTTCCGTTTGGCAATTCGCGTTTTCTTTTCTCCCTCTCTGTGTGTGTGGTTGTGTGTGTGTGTGTGTGTGTGTGTGTGGTGGGTATAGAGTCTTCCGTTGCGGGGGCTGAATTCTGCTAGCACTAGCATTATCCACGCAATCAGCGAAACTGTAAATCACACACACATACACACACACACACATTCGCACACACACATATATACAGAGCTATTAGAATAGTTGACACAGGGAGAGACTAAAAATGGCGTAGGAAATGATGCTGTGATGGCTGCCAGGTCCCGTATGCTTTTGTATTATGAATGTAACTGTAACACGCTAGCAAACATCGCACACGCAACCAATGCAGGGAGAGAGGGAGAGTAGGAGACAGTCGGGTAGTTGGACCCAGAGAAACGGGACAGTTGTGCAGCAGGACATTTTTCTAAACTGTGCTCGACTCACGGAACTTTTGGTGTCTCGTGGCCGGACGGGCGCATCGTTCGCATCGTCGCCAAACTGACGGATTTTCCGGTGCTTCTGTCAAACGCTTGTCATTTTATTTACTATCCACACACACACACACACAGACACAGAGACACACACACACTGATACACACACACTGACACATACACATTCGCATTGAAGGACACTCGCTCAGAGCTCCACTCACAGATTCTAACGTCCTGTTTCGCCTTTTATCGGCTTAAAAGGCGAAAATTGCAAATAAATACGAGTAGTTTTCTAGAGTTACATTCGCCAAGCTCTTGCGAGCGCTCGACTAAATTATTTACTTGCTTTTTATTAAGCGCTTAACGTTTGTACTCATATGCCTTTTTTTTAGCTAGTTTATCTTGCATCTGCGAGATACTTCGATCGTTAGCTGAATGGTTATGCCATTAGCTAGCTGGGCGTAAACTGCGGACGGCTTTAGCTGGAATCCCAATTGTTGCTCCAATTGCAAATGTTCATTTCGTGCGCGTTTCAAGTGCTGTTCAAATATTGCTCGCACGCAACTCGCCATGTCGAGCGATTGAATTCTACTCAGCTGAAGAATGGTAATTGGATGCCCTCTGCCGACAAGCTGGCAACGAGTTTCGCACAAAAATTATAGGGTTTTTCCTATTTACCCGATTAGAAGAGGCCAAAGGCTAAATTGAGTGAGTGAGTGCTTCCATTTGTTTGGCTTCAAGGCTTGTTAACAACTGACTAGGTTAGGTTCGGCTTTACAGTGTTGTACAATCACCAGGACACAAGCAGTTATCGATAAGTATTTGTTGAGCTTTCTCCGTCTTTTATCTTTATTTATTTATATAGTTATATTTAAGAGTATAAATGATGCAATTCTGCGCTTATACGTGTTTCTTTTCTAACATAATTTTATTTTGATTTTTTTAAAGAGACGAGGTGGTTAATATATCTTTTGTAAGATCAAGAAAACGTCTCACCTGGAAGATAAAAGAAACAGTGTCTGAGAAAATATTTGCATGGTATATGCAAGAAAGATTAGCAGGGACTTTTATCAATGCACCTCGGAAAACTGGCTGAACTATGTACATTAATACGAAAATATAACGCTGCGACATTTTGGCCATTTGCAGCTGATTTTAAAGAGCTATTATAACTCATGTGTAGCCAGCAAATCCACTGAGGCTTAAGCTTACCTGCCCCAACTATAAATAACCGAGCAGAAATGTGCCCAAAAACAATTTTTGGCAATTTTCCACTTTTTATGCAATTAATCAAATGCAAACAAAAACCTTAGAGCCCGCCAGAATAGAACGCTAAAGCTGTCCCAGCTCATGAATATTTCTCGATGTGTGTGTGTGTGTGTGTGGGTGTGTGCTTGTGTGTGTGCATCCGCTTTATAGATATGGCAAATCGTCTATCAGTCTCGGCCGCTGTTCGTTGTGGGTAGAAACTGGAAAGCAAATTCAATTAACCCTACGGACCGTAGAGAGCGTAATCAAATACACTCAACCAATACAAATAAATGTAGACGATGGACCGTCCGCTCGTAATGTACTAAACCAAACTAAGCCGGGGCCCGGACTCTGGACTACGGACTACGGACTCTGAAGTGAGGCACGCGCCACTTTGAACCAATCCACTACAAATCAGGCAGAGACCCCAGACGAAAGGTGGTTGCGGCGCAGGATGAGGGTTAGGGAACCACAACGACACAAAGTAACTAATTATCTCGCCTTATCCCCCACGAACGCCCCTACCCGACTTGTGTTTACTTAAGTCCAGGGCTCACTGCGAGCCACTCAACGAGGCGAAATTTTTAATATGTGCGCCGAGAGTTGTTTGTGTTGTTCCAGGCAGAAGATTTTTCGGCCCAGCTAACCCTTTCGCCCGGCCAGCACACGTGGCAACACCGAGACAGCAACAAGAAATTAAACGCAAGCTCGATATGTCTGTTCACGGTTGAATGGACAATAGATTGAGTCCTTGAGAAACAGTTAGCCGGTTGGCCAGTTAAGTCCTGCTCATGCTAAAGGCGACAACAAAATAAAGAAAAAATTCTTCAAAGGATATGTGTCAAAAATGCCAAACACATGCTGCGACACAAACGGTTGCCAAGGACAACGGCGAACTCGAAATGCTCAACGAGCTTTCGCCTTTTTGCATGTTTTTCAAAAATTTGTTTGTAGAGTGTACGGATGATACTTTAACCATGTAGTGCAATATGCAACGTGTAACAGGCGACATCTCCAATCATAATCCTAATTCAATAAGTATGCATTTTCTTAGTTAATCAATCATAATCGTAATTCAATAAGTATGTATTTTCTTAGTTAGCATCAAGGAAACAAACCGGTTAGCGGCAGAAATTTTAATTTATTGTTTAAATCTATAAAAGACTAGGTCAAAGAACCGAATCTCATGGCAGGAAGTCGTTGTTGCAGCCCTGGTCAAACTTAAAAGCCGAGTCTAGGCTCTCCCTTTCCCATATTTCATTTTTCTCTTTAAAACTTAAACTCTAGCTCTTGATACTTTCTTGAGTGGTTTGTAGACTTCGTCAACATTTTTGTCCTGGTCAACGTTAATAGCCGAGTTTAGGCTCTTCCTCTATCTCTTTTTTTGTTAGTTAAATATTTATTTTAGTAATTTACTTGCAGTTCGAATCTCTGGTCAATATGAATAACTGCATCTATTCCCTCTATCCCCCTCTCTCCCTTGCCCTTTAAAAGATACTTTTCTGCGTTCGAAAATGTCTTCACTTTATTCGGTTAGTACGAGCTTCAAGTTCAAAATCGAATCTAACTAAGATTTCTATATCTATTCTATATTTCCTGTCTAGCAATCTACAGTTCAACTTTTGATTTATTTTGTAATAATTGCTGAACGTCATGCCTGCAAGGGTATCTTATGTTCGGCATTGTATTAGCTATTTTGTGTTTTTTTTGAATCGGAAGAGCGACAAATATGAAACAGCCATTGTGTGCAGTTGGCAGTTGTACTGGGTATTGTTTGTTAGCCTTATGGGGCTGGATTTTGACTTCCATGTTCAGCTGTCGCAGTCCGACTGTTGCCACCAAACTTGCTACTCGCTCATTCATTCGATTAGTGGAGGTTCCAATTTCTTCTTTTTTTGAGAGATTTTGTGTTGATGGATGTTTGGATTTGGCTACGTATCATGTGTTTTCCATTTTCTGTTTTATCTTGCTCTGGAAATTGGCATTGGCAGCTTGTTGCTAGCAGTTTGACAGGTCAGCCAACATGCCAAGTTATTGAACTTGTCTATGGCACAAAAGCTTTGCAGTTCAAATATACCAATTAATAGTTTTTTGTGTTCCAGACATTTGAGCAAAAGTTTAGTTCTATCTACAAACTTTAGAGTATATCTAACAAGAAGCTTGAAGCCAAAAAGTAATATTTCGTTCATTAAACATTTGACCGGCATTTTGAACTGAACTGAAAATCTGACAAAGATCTTTTCAAATAAGTTTGAAACCGAAAACAAAAAAGTTGGAAATACTCCGGCAAACTTCCACAGCTGCGGGTGGAATTTCCGAAATCACTGGAATACGTATGCATTAGGCATTAGGCATTGGGCATTCAATACCTTGAATCGCATTTTTCACCGAGGAAGCTCGGATTCTACGTGAAACACGTCTGAATTGGGTTTTTCATAAAGATCCTCTCACGGGAGCTTATAACATAGGCGAATGGATTTTCTGAAAAGTAAGACGCACGCCTCAAATTAACTTGAAAAATCTTTGAAAATTAGTTTGACTGATAAGCAAAAAGCAAGAATTTGTTAATACACCTTTTTAGCGTTCACCTCCATCGCATTATTATAAGTTTTATATTTATTTTCATTTTCCCAAATTTTCTCTTTTGGAAATTTCTGGCAACATTTTTTGCATAACTTCCCATTTGTGTGATTAAAATAGTTTAATTTATTTATTTTATTATATTTTTTTTTGTAATCCCTGCACATAGTTGGGGCGT